GACATTGGCCATCACGTCCAGACTCGGACCCAGAGTTGGAACTGGAACTCGAACTGGAACCACCCCCCGGAAAAAAAATTCGGCACTACAGTGACATTGGCCATCACGTCCAGACTCGGACCCAGAGTTGGAAGTGGAATTGGAACTGGAACTGGAACTCCCCTCCCCCCGCGAAAAAAACAAAAAATCGACATTTAACTGACAGTGGCAATCACTTCCAGACTCGGACTCAGAACTGGAAGTGCAGCTGGAATTGGAACTCGAACTGGAACTGGAAGTGGAACTCCCCCCCCGAAAAATAAATCAATATAATATAAACTGACATTGGCAATCACTTCCAGACTCGGACCCAGAACTGGAAGTGGAACTGGAACTGGAAGTGGAACTGGAAGTGGAACTCCCCTCCCCCCTCCCCAGTCTCCTGTGTTGGACGTGGAACTGGAACTGGAACTGGAACTGTTCCACCCGCCCGGGCACACTCTGGGATGTAGAGGACTTCACGTGGCAAACAACGAGTTCACAAAGACCATGGCAGTTCAAGAGTCTCAAGAGCTTTGCACAAGGAAATTTGACATTCACGCGAGGAACAATCCAGGTGCACAAATATAGAGAAGATAACATATTAAGAATAAACCAGATTTCAACAGATAATGCTAGTACAATGAAACAGATGTACTTTAAAGGCTTTGCAGACCCGTGAGGCGCCCTTGGTCTCCCGGGGAGACCTTAGCACCATGCGTGCCGCTGGCGAGTACACCGGCTTCGTGCCAGACATGCAGTCCCTTCGGCTTTGAATCAGACCAAACCAAAGAAAGATAATTTTGTATCCTGATGAAACGGTTGGGCATTTTTGGCCACTCTAGTCTGCAGGCGCCGACAGCTCATGAACTTTGTGCTGGTGACCACAGCTGGCATCCCTGTCCTGGTGGCCTTGGGCTGCTACCTTTGGTACTTCGTGCCTCCTGTGTCAGGTGGTGGCGGAGGAGCACAGCTTGCTGGAGACGTGGATGGCAATCCTGTCGCCCTGGAGTCTTGGGTGAAGAGCCACAAGGACAACGACCGTGAGCTGGTGCAGGGACTGAAGGGTGAGCCCTACTACCTCATCTCCACCCCAGACAACATCAAGGACTTTGCGCTTCTGTCCGTGTGCACTCACCTTGGCTGCGTGGTGCCTTGGAACAAGGCTGCCAACAAGTTCTGCTGCCCTTGCCACGGATCCCAGTACGATGAGAATGGCAAGGTTGTACGTGGCCCTGCTCCACTTTCCTTGGCCTTGGCTCACACCACTACCCTGAACGGCAACTTGGCATTGAGCCCTTGGACCGAGCAGGACTTCCGCACCGGCGAGGACCCTTGGTGGAAGTGAGCTGCGGGAGACGCTGACCTTTGGTAGACATTTACTCAGTAGTTCAGCTTTGCCCGCAAGTCGCAGCGGGTCAAGGTTATGCAAGCGCGGCTTGGAGCTAGCCATTTTCCTTTTCTCCATAACCTTTGGACCTCAAAGTAACTGGCTAGGTAAGTGTGGCAATCATGGCCGAAGTATGTACTAATAATTACGAGCTTTGCTGGCATTGGTATGGAACTGCGGAGACACCGCTGTGAGCAAAAGGTTGATGAAGGCGTGGCGGCAGCTTTTGAAGTGGGCCACGTTTTGAATGTTCATTGTTTAACCGGATGTTTGGGCTCTCTCTGAAGGGCTCTTTAAGGCTTGAGGGAAGGTTCCGAGTTTCAAAGTCCAAATTGAGTCTGGTGTGGGACCTTACCCACAAATCAATTACTGTTCGGTCACGCTTGTCTAACATGTTGATTTGCTTTCCGAGCCTGCTGTTGGTAGAGCAGTGGTAGCTTTTGATCTCTGTTCGGTTGGAAATGTTCTGCATGTCAAAGTTTCAGACTGCATTCTGCACGACCGATGTGTTCTGTCTGAATGGAAAGCATTCAGCAGAAAATACACTTGCAGCCTCGGCTCCAGAGTTTTTGCAGAGCGTCCCACAGCACCAGTGCTATGGCGAAGACACGAGAGATGAGGAGCATGGTATCTTGCCTAATCTTGCTTCCACTTGAGTAGCGCCCCCCGCACCCCCAAACGCTCACGCACAGCTGAGCCAAAGAAGCGACAGCGCGCCCACACTTATGCTCTGAAAAGCTTGTAAACCAACATGGCAAAGCTTTCAGGAAAGACGTTATCATTATGTCAATGTGGTGCTCACCATCCTGGCAATTCCATTCGAGTTTGTTTAACTTTTTAACATTCTTTCTCCCATATACAAATGTGATTCCCGGTGCCCACTTTTTTAATAGATGAACATTTGATGTCGTTTGCATGTGAATCTGAACAAGTTACTATTTACTGTAACCGATTGTCACGCGGAATCCAGCCAAATAAATACATACGTATCCAGGCCTTGCTGGCCCTGTTGGGGCTTGCTGCGACTTCGGCATTTGTGGGATTCCAGGTGCGGAATGCTCATGAGAGGGGAATGGGGAAGCATTAGGGAGACTTTGGGGACTGTGCAGTCTCCGTGAATGAAGCAGCATGTAGGACCACACGGCCTCCCTTCTGGAGAGGATGGGCAGCTACGCCAAGTGTTGTGAAAATCAACTGTTTTGGTCTCAAAGAGGTCATGCAAACGGACAAGGAGTAGAGTAGGCTTGAAGAGAGTTGTCTAGGTTTCCCTAGAACCTTTCAAGAAAGTCGATTTGCTGCGCACAAACAAGCAAGCAAGCAAGCGAGCGAGCGAGCAAGCGAGCAAACACACAATCAAACAAACAAACAATCAAACAAGCACACAGACAAGGTATGGCAACGCAAAGCAACGCTAAGCAAAGCAAAACAAAACAAGACAAACAAAGCAAAACAGATCATAACACACAAAGCAAACATAACAAAAAACAAGACAAAACAAACAACGCAAACAGAACCAAAAACAAAACAAACAACACAAACAAAACAATCAACACAAGCCAAACAAACAAAACAAACCCAAGCCAAACCAAACCGAGCAAAGCAATCAATCGATCAACCAACCAATCAATCAATAAAACAGACAAACACAAAACGCAAACACACACGCAATCTGAAACACAAGCACAAACACAAACACAGACACAAACAACAAACAATTTCACAAACACAGACACAACCACAACATGGAGACAAACACAAACACACTCATGGATATGCGTACTGATGTGAATGCGGTGCCACTCGCCGGCCTAGGGTTCCATTTCCTAAGA